GAGATACAACTATTTGAAAATCTGGAATCTGAGTTGTCCAAATGAAGTTCTTAGCAATGCATATTACTAGTCAAAAATTAAGTTTTGATATATTTACAGTAGGAAATTTACAAAATATCTTCATGGAACATGATCTTTAATATCCTAATGATTTTTGGCATAAAAGAAAAATCAATCATTTTGACTCATACTATGTATTGTTGGCTGTTGCTACAAATATACCCCAGCGACTTAACACTGCTTTTGTGCTCCAGGGTCACTTTTGAATATTTAAGTCAAATTGGATTAAAGTTTTAACTTAAATTTACAATGATTTACAATTGTGATTATCTCACAATTATAAGCAGAAAAAAACACAGAATTGCTAGATATAAACTCACAATTCTGACTTTCTTGAAATTCTGGCTTTCTCATAATTTGGACTTTTCTTTTTAAAAATTACCACAATTTTATATCTCACAATTTTGCATCTTTATCGCACAATTCTGACTTTTATCTCTGAATTTTGAGTTTACATCTAGCAATTTTTTTCCCACCATGGAATAAAAAATAAAAATGGTAATTGCATCTTTTTATCTCACAATTCTGACTATTTTTCTGACTATGACTTTTTTCTCAGAATTACAAGAAACAAAGTCTGAATTTTGAGATATAAACTCAGAATTGTGAGAAAAAAGTCATCACCTTTTTTTTTTTTCCCCCATAGTTTTGTCTTAAGACCAAGCTAGAAAAAAAGATAGAAACATTCTTAAGTATTATAATGAGAAGAAAATAGCAGTTAATAAGAATGATATTCTCATGAATCTGGCTCCTGACTTCCACTGAATCCATTGTCTTTTTTAATGTAATATGTCAATACTTCAGACACATATACAATATCCAAAGTTTAAACAAATCAACTGAATTATTGTTTCTCCTGATCTTAAAAACCTTGTTTTGATCAAAAAACTTTTTTGTTTTGCATACAAAAATAGTGCCTATGAACAGGGTTATTATTGCTAACTAAAGCTAAAATTAAAACTAAAACCATAAAAAAAATGTACCTTGAAATAAAATAAACATTAACTGAAATATAAAATATAAAAACCGTAAACTTATTTTATTTCAGCTAGTTGCCAATGCAGCATTTCACATTTTCTTTTAGTTTAACTTAACGTACTAAAATAACTAAAACTAGAATAAAAACGTTAAGAAATATTTAGACATTAAATAAAACAGTAACTAATAAAAATGACAAAAACACAACAAATGTACTAAAACTTTAACTAAAATTAAAATGAAAACTAACTCTGAATATTAATAAAACCTATAATAGTATATCAACGACACTAAGCAACACTACCAATTAATGTTTTTGCAGAACTATATTTTTAGTTAATAATCAACAAGTGTGTAGCATACAGTACATGAGAAATATTGATTACTGAAGCTGGCGTGAGAGCTCTAAACTAGAGCAGCTACTCTGATGAAGTATCAAATAAAACATTAGTTCTGATTAGATTTGGTCACTACATAATTCCCATATTTCCATTTGTGTCATTTCATAGTTCTGTTGATGTTACAATTAATCTAACATGTAGAAAACAGTAATAATAAAGCATGTCCAAATGTATGACTGGTTGAGTAGTACATGGAGAACCAGCAAGTCAGAAGCAATAAACAATGAGTGGCAACAAACCTTGAATTTGCCAATGAGTCTGTCTTCATCAGCTGCATTCTGCTCAACATTAGCATCATCCGAACACTTGCCTCGATAAAGGTTGAAAGTGTGAAGCCAATCTTCAAAGCTGTCAAACTGATATTCAAGCTCTCTGTTGAACATCTATGGAGAAAAACAAGAATTCCCACACTCTTTTACATCCACGAGGCGTCCCATACGCTCTCCAAAGAGCCAAAGTTTCATCTCGGCCTTTCATTTTCAAATCGACTTTTGCTATTAAAAGAATAGTTCCAAAAAAATTACATTTTTCTTGTTTCTTTTGTTTCTTCATTGGAACAGATTTGGAGAAATGTAGCATTGCATCACTTGCTCACCGATGGATGCTCTGCAGTGAATGGGTGCCGTCAGAATGAGAGTCCAAACATTCTGTGTTTCTTCCAAACACACAGCTTTTGTCTTCTCCAGATGTTAACTGATGGACTGGAGTGGTGTGGATAACTTGTGGATTATTGTGATGTTTTTATCAGCTGTTTGGACTCTCATTCTGATGGCACCCATTCACTGCAGAGCATCCATTGCTGAGACACTGATGCGATGCTACATTTGCTAAACTCATCATAATAGTTGGGTGAGGACATTTACAGCAAATTTTCATTTTCAGGTGAACTATTCCTTTAAAGACCTAAGTACCTTCAACTCTTCGATTTTGTGCTTCTTCTTCTCTGGTGCTCCCTCCCCAGGCGTGGCTTTGTTCTTGTTCCCCTTTCCTCTCTTCTTCTTCTTGGTCCCTTTCATATCAGAGGCATTAGGAACATATTTGGAAATCAGGGCAAAAAATCAAGGGTGTGCAGACTTCTGAACAGGATTATTTATGTCATTTCAGTCAAATTGGAATTTGAGGATTATATGTAAATATCTGTCAAATAGCTTTTTTTGGGCAGTACACTCTAAAAAATGCTGGGTTAAATATAACCTAGCGCTGGGTTAAAAAGGGACAAACCCAGCTATTGGGTTGTTTTGACCCAGCTACTGGGTTGTTTTGACCCAGCTACTGGGTTGTTGTGACCCAGCTATTGGGTGGTTTTGACCCCGCTACTGGGTTGTTTTGACCCAGCTACTGGGTTGTTGTGACCCAGCTATTGGGTGGTTTTGACCCCGCTACTGGGTTGTTTTGACCCAGCTACTGGGTTGTTGTGACCCAGCTATTGGGTGGTTTTGACCCCGCTACTGGGTTGTTTTGACCCAGCTACTGGGTTGTTGTGACCCAGCTATTGGGTGGTTTTGACCCCGCTACTGGGTTGTTTTGACCCAGCTACTGGGTTGTTGTGACCCAGCTATTGGGTGGTTTTGACCCCGCTACTGGGTTGTTTTGACCCAGCTACTGGGTTGTTGTGACCCAGCTATTGGGTGGTTTTGACCCCGCTACTGGGTTGTTTTGACCCAGCTACTGGGTTGTTGTGACCCAGCTATTGGGTGGTTTTGACCCCGCTACTGGGTTGTTTTGACCCAGCTACTGGGTTGTTGTGACCCAGCTATTGGGTGGTTTTGACCCCGCTACTGGGTTGTTTTGACCCAGCTATTGGGTTGTTTTGACCCAGCTACTGGGTTCAAAACAAACCAACCGCTGGGTCAAAACAACACAATAGCTGGGTTTGTCCCTTTTTAACCCAGCCCTGGGTTATATTTAACCCAGCATTTTTTAGAGGGTAAAAAAAAAAAAAAAAAGAATTATAAAGACTGACATTTTTCATGTATTTTCATGCTGTTTTACATAATTAACTGTCTTATGCATTTAATTATATATCATATGCTAATATCAAAGTATTAACTTATACAAAGTCCCTTAAAAGGCAAGTCATTTCATATTGCAAATGCACTTGGGCAGCTATTTTTAGTCGTGCACGCATAGCTCCTAGCTGATTTAACGTGCATATTTTAAACAAGTGAAAAGTTAAACAAATTTTTGTCAAACATATGGTTGACTCACCCTCTCCAGAGTCAAAATTTTCCCTTTCTTCAGCTTCTGCTTCCTGAGCTTTAATGATCTAAATTGTTCATAAATAGAACAATAAAATCTCAGTTCAAACATCCGAATCATGCATTTTCAAGGCGTCTTCTGTAAAAGGCATGTAAAATAATTTCACTCTTTTATAGCTCTTACCTCTTTCAGTGTTTCAATCGAGGCAAAGTATTTGGACCACCAGTCCAGCATGCTTTCATCCAGCTCCTCCTCTTCCACCTCTTCACCCTTCTTCCGCTTCTTTTTCCCTTTCCCACCTTTCTCATCATCTGGCTGTAACAATGTTAAGGACACAGAATTCATTTTCACACATAAAACTAATGAATTTATGAATGCCAAGGCACTGAACATAATAAGAGAGAAACCGATCTGACATCTGTCTACATACCATATCGACTTTAACCACAGCATCAGATGCCTGAAACAGATTCAATAAAATGAATAAATTCAAAAGACCTGACAAAACTCTGTCATTTGTGTCCAAATGTTTGACTGATACAGTTCAAGTATTTTGTAGTGTTTCCTACTGAGTCGAGTTTGACCACTGTCTCAGTCTTCTTCACAGCTGGCTCTGGCACTGTGTGGATCACAACCTCCTCTGCAGAGGAAAAAACTATGTTAGTTGTGCTTGGTATAGGTGAGAATAAGGAATATCAAAGGAAGATATGCACTACTGGTCAAAAGTTTAGGAAAGAAGTCTCTTCTGCTCAGCAAAGCTGCATTTATTTGATCAAAAATACAGTAAAAACAGTAATAGTGTGAAATATTATTACAATTTCAAACAGCTGTTTTCTATGTGAATATCTGTTAAAATGTAATTTATTAGCTGAATTTTCAGCATCATTACTCCAGTCTTCAGTGTCACATGATCCTTCAGAAATGTTATGAATTATTAGTGCTCAGTTATTAATAATGGTTTTCACTATTATACATGTAAATTACAAAATACCAAAACAAAAACAAAATACCGGTCGTGAATTAGAAGTACAAAACGAAGATTTGTAAAGAAAAATGTTGGAGGATTTCGATGTAAGCCAAGAGGAGACTGGTTTTCCTTTGCTGTAAATGAAACTTGTTTCTTGCGATTCTCACCTACGCCTACGTCATCCACTGGACGCCACTCTCTCGTGAACGCGCGTACAACAGTTAGCAGAAGCTAGAGACTACGGTTGATAACGTTTTACATATGGATATTTTTCTAACACAAACACATCGCTTCAGAAGGCTTTTATTAACCCCCTGGAGCCGTGTGGAGCACTTTTTATGATGGATGGATGCACTTTTTTGAGCTTCAAAATCTCAACACTCATTCACTGCCATTATAAAGCTTGGAAGAGCCAGGACATTTTTAAATATAACTCCGATTTTATTTGTCTGAAAGTAGAAAGTCATATACACCTAGGATGGCTTGAGGGTGAGTAAATCATGGGCTAATTTTCATTTTAGGGTGACCTATCCCTTTAAATTGTAATCATATTTCACAATATTACTGTTTTTACTGTATTTTTAATCAAATAAATGCAGCCTTGGTGAGCAGAAAAGACTTCTTTCAAAACCTTAAAAACGTAATCATTCCCAACTTTCAATGGGTGGTATATATTCAGTAGTTAAATATGGACATTTTGAGTGTATTATAGTTTGGATCTGTCCTGCAGTCCGAATTCTGGATTGTAGTGAATTGCACAAGTTATTAAATCTAAAGGTTCAAATATTTTTTCCATTTCAATTCATAAAAAAAATGTATTATGACTATTATTATTGCTATTATTTAATTGCTCTTAGATGAAGGCTACATCTTTGCCATGGATTCTATGAGACAATCATTTAAGCTTATCAACTGAAGATACATATTTGACAGCTTTTTTCTCTGGATACACACCCATGGCAGACCAGTTACTGACACTTTTGTCCGATGGCCTGTAAATGAATTTGCGTAGAGATGTGACAGCATTAGAGCCGACTAGTGTGTAACGACCAAACGCCCGGCAGTCCACCACACGGATGTTCAGAGGAGGATGGAGGAGCTCGTTCTCAGGCAGGTCCTGGTGAAAAATCATGAACATTTTCTGTAGTACAATCAACATCATTTTGAAAATGTCTCATACTTTCTGAGATATAAATGTGCAAAAGCCTCACCACTTCAAACCACTTCACCAGAGTGCTGAAGTTGGGGTTTTTCTTGTAGTTCTGAATTAGCGCTGATTGAATGCTTTTCCCTGCACACTCGATGTCCACACGGGGGTGGTCTACTTGAGCCAGATTCACCCGCTTCAAGTCCCTCAGGCCCCAGAAGAGAACCTGCATGAATGTTTTGTTAATTTAATGTGATGCAAAGTTTTTTTTTTATATATATATATATATATAATAGCTGTACAGGGGTGAACTCTGGCATACAGGGGCATCATGCACCTAGTATTGTTGATGGGGAACCAGTGACAGTTCTGGCACTTCTTCATAAGACTGTGAGTCATGATATTTAGTCTGGTGCAATTTCGAAGTATGCATAGGGGCTGGGTTAAAATCCTGATATCATATACATTTTTATAATAAACCAAGCAAACCTGCATCAGTTCAGGCTACCACATATTCAATAGCTTATAGAAACAAATTAATTTAAACCATCAGCATGGACATCCATTGCTGCACTCTATCTCTGTATCTGGAAACACATTTAGTGAATAAGAAGCTGTTCTCTATAGTCTTTCAGAGCAATGTGCCGCACAGTTTCCCTAGTGCACACAGAGTTTGACATTTTTACAAAAACCTGACATTAAAATGTATATATAATGCCTATCTCATTTAACGCTAAAACTCTTTAGTTGTGTTGCGTTGACAAATAAATATTTTATAAAATTTTGGACCAATTTCGACAACTTTGGGGCGCTGTTAAATTGTTACTTATCAAATATAAAAATATGATATTTTTATTAAAAATATTTATTTTTGTTTTTAGAAGTTCCATTTATTTGACTCAAATGGAGGTTGAATAGGCAAGACACATGTGATTACCTATTTATTTATTATTATTAATTCTTTTTTTGGTCAGAAGTGTGCTCTCTTATGATAACTGCACACCTCTCTGCAATACCATTTTAAAATGTACAAGAAATGTGAAAATAATATTAAAAAGCATTGGGTGAGGGGATTACCATTTTGCTTCCCCAAAGAACCTTTCAGTCAACAGTTCTTATAACAACCATTTTTTTCTTAGTGTGAAGAACATTTTAATAATCTGAAGAGCCTTTTTCCACTATAAAGAACCTTTTGTGAAATGGAGATGTCTATGGATGTTAAAGGATCTTCATGACATCATTGCTGGCAATAAAGAACCACAATTTTTAAGATTGTAGGTCAGCAATAGATTCTGGGTCGGCCCTGTAGCTGTTCTACTACGAGCAACTCACCTCAATTCGGTATTTACTCAAGACAGGTCTTATGCCAATAGGAACAGGCAGGATTGGACCACGATCGATATCTGAAGGTCCATCTATTGGGGGCAGGTCGGCCTTTCCAGCTGGTCCAATCTGAAAGATTTCCACAATACATAAGTATGTATACATGCACAAACACAGACTAAGACTTAAACAGTTTCTTGTTCCTGTCAGATGCACCTGCAGCAGCTCAAAGGCCGCCAGCATTTCTCCTGCAGTGCCGTTTCCCCGGTAGATCTGGTAGTACTCCAGTTGAGGAGGGAAGCGTGGCGGCCCATAATGCTCATCTGACATCTTGGTTATAGGTTTAGCGAATGTCCTACCCATGAAATCGGCTTTTCCCTTGGGAAGTAGAATGAGATTAACCACATTTATGGAGGTGAAAGCATGAAAAGCAGAAGGAAATGAATAATTTGCAGGATATCAGCACTCACGACAGTGTCCTGATCATAGATCTCGATGACGATTATAGGAGGATCATCCCTCAGTTCACCAGCCTCACCATAGAGCTCCACATTATCAAACACCAGCAGCTGATCCCATGTAGGACACAACGTCTCATTCAGGACCTGAGAGGAAATAATCAGCTTATTACGCCTTCCTTCTAACTTCTTTATGCAGTAGGTTTGATGTGGATATCTCAAACAGCTCAAGCAGTAAAGCAGCACCAAACAACGGTTTCTCAGTAAATATTTTAGTTCAAGCCCATCAAGTGCTATTGTATGTTCAATGCTATGAGAAGACACTTTTCTCTTGGCTGGTTGTGAACTGATGGTGCTGACAAAAAGGGTTCTGGGTTTTGCACCGTTAGAATTGAATTGAGAATCTAAATTCCATTTCAATTCCTGAAAATGAAATGAATTTGAGTTGATGTAAAAATGAAGTAGAAATGTAATTCAAATGTCAATTTAAGTATGTAGAATGAATTCATATGCTCAAATTCAACTGTTTTACATGTAATTTTTTATCCTATCCATTTTATCATATAACATTAAACTATGTTTGATGTAGCAAACAGGATGTGGAATTTTAATTTAAATAAATTCTTAAATTAAATGCACATGCATATAAATTCATATAATTCAATATTTAGTTTTAATGGTATTTTTGCAAATATTAATTGTATCATATAATATTAAATCATATAAAAAAAAAATACTACTAATACATTTTATTTTCAGATTCAATTATCTTTTAACCTCTCATCATACACACAATACATAGGGTATTAATAATTAAATATAAATATATTAATAATCATCATGTTTGAAATGCCACCTATAAATATTCAATGAATTGACTTTCATTAGTTGAAGAATACTCAATTTCACAGAATGCTCTGATTTATTCAATATATTATAAGAATTATATATTCATATATAACATGAATACATTCATATTTTGTCTTTAATATCTATTTCAATAAAGTTTAATTATAAAATATTTTAAATAAATAAATATAAAGAAATATGGAGAAATATGCTCAAGAAGTATAACAAGTCTTTCAAATTTGGTTCAGATTTGTTCATATGCAAAAATTCGCTCACAGAGGTCAAATGTCAATAGTAAGTTTGCATGAAGCTTTTATCTCACCTCTGTGACCTGGCTGTGAGTAGAAAAAAATACCCTGGCAAAAGGGTCTGACAGGCCCGTGCTGTCGGCCGCAAACAGACTGCGAGCCTGATACATGTGAACCCTCAGCTGGAAGATCTGCTTCACTGTTAGCATACAATAAAAGAGTTATTATCACTGACTATTACACAGACAATCTGAGGTCACTCATATAAGTTCTTTGGTATCTTACTGGTGTACATCAGGCTTATAGGGGGTGAGGACTGTATGCCAGGCCCTTTTACTGCCTTGTTCTCCTCAAACCCATTTGGTAGGCCGCTCAAGTAGTCCTTACGCTGCCTGTTCAAGCCGAGCCACAGATACAGCTCAGTTTTAGCCTGAACGGTCCAGCCTGCAGGTCCAAAGCTTTTCTTACCAGGGAGCTAAAAAGAGAAGAAAAATAGTAAAAGAAAGTAAATTAGTACTTGTCGTTAAAGTATATCAAGTAGATGTTTAGAAAAGCTAATTAAAGGTATCAAATATTTTTGTTAATAATTTTTTAGGTCATAAATTATTTTTTATGAACCACTTCAACCCTTTAAATTTAAAGAGTTTGTTTAATGCTGCTGTGCCTTCACATGTGAAATGAGGCTAGTGGTTTCATCTCTACAGCAGTCACTCATCCATTCACCTCATGAGTTGTATAGTGAGTTTGGGAAGCCCTCTTTAACTGGAAGATCCTTCTACAGCATTCAACTCTTTCGCCGACTGTTAGCACAAGTAAGTGCTGTTATTTCCCCCTTGGCACTTCAGCATAAAAGAGCATTTTCTCTAAGAGAGCAACACGGACAAGAGTGTCTTTTTAAAGATGTCTCTTCGTCCATGTGTTTCTGGATGCGGTCGTTTCCTGACCCCCTCTAACGGTCACGATCGTTGATCCATCCATCGTTCATGGACGGTTCATGTCCTCATTGTGAGACCATGACCATGGCAATGCAGAGATCTCGGCTCTCACTTCTTGTGGTGGGGGAAACCCCCTTTGCTGCTACCAGCGCGGACCGGTTAGCACAGTTAGCACTCAGGGCGATCTTACAACATTTCCGCCAGGCCAGTCCTCACGGACTTCCCACTACTCTTCGATGTTGCTTGCCATCGAACTCCCAAAGGAAATTGCCGCCCAATGGACCACCTATTGGCCCAATGACGGACTCCAACAGTGTGGGTGAAGGTACAATGCGTGTTGGTCTTTTATTTGTGCTTCTACAAAGTTCACTTAATTTATTAGGATAGAGTTTCATTTTTATTGTAGCTCTGTGTTTAATCTGACTCCAATCTTTAAGTGATTGTTCAAATTTGACTACATTACTGATTAACAGCTGATCATAAGATTAGATGTGGCTGAATTTAGATATTTGATTATTCTGGACAACCTATACTTTCAATTATTTGTTCATTAGGGACCCAGTGCCGCACAGAGTCTCATGTTGGCTGGAGGTCATGGATCTCATAATCACAAACTTGCCAGTACTGATCTTAGTCAGGGGGTGTAAATTAACTAATACCTTTAAGTTGGCTACAACATGTTTGCTCATACAAAAAGTGTAGTTCTCTTAGTCATGTTACTACAAGTTGCTAAGTCAGTGATAGACAGAAATCAAAAGGTCCCACATGGAGTACCACATGCTCCATTCATTGGGCCCTCAGTTTGATCTATCCTAGACACAGATTTGAGGTAGCAACAGACTCCACATTATCTACTATGGAGCTTTTCCACTGCATGGTATGGCTCGGCTCGGCACGGATCGGCTCGGCTCAGCTCGGTTTGCGTTTCCACTGCAGTTTAGTACCGCTTCAGAGTGGGCAGAATTATAGACATGTCGTTAAAGTTGCGCCGCCTCTACTGCCGTGACATCATCGTAAATGCGACACAAACAAACAAACAACAATGGAGCATATCGATGGAATGGTGTTCTTCATTCTCGGCATGTGGATGTTTTTAACTGCAAGACAGCCATTACTTTGTTGTTTTAAAAAAGGTGCGTTCGTTTGAAATTTTGCTTTCGTTCAAATAAAGCTGCATTCGATCTTCGTTGGCTGTGCTGATTTAATCTAGCTGATCTAGTGTCTCGTGTCGCAAGTCCAATGACGCAGGTAGTAACAATTCTCTCCGGCCAATCAGTGATCAGCAAGGTTTACACGTCACGTTTTGGTAACGGTACAGCTCGCTTTGAACCTCAGCCGAGGTGGTACTGAAAAAAGTACCAGGTATCAGGTACTGTACACAGTGGAAACCCCCAAAAGCGAGCTGTGCCGTGCCGTACCATGCAGTGGAAAAGTGCCAAAAGTCATAATGATTTCAGGAGAATAAATCGAATATTACATTTTATTTGTCAGGCAAGAGTGTATCATGCTAATTGCATAATTAGAATCCAATTCAGAAATGATAAATACATAACATTTATTGCTCAAAGATGAATCTAAGAGTGAGAGATGCATACCTGACAGCAGAGAGATACACAGCATGTGAGTGTCCAGGATGCAGAGCTCCAGAGACGTACATACACTGTGCGGGGGTTTTCTGCTTACAGAATCCCAATGACTTACTTGCCACATTCCCTTAAATACCCAGACCACAAAAAAAAGAAATCTTCAAATCTAAGTTGTAAAACAGAAGACCTTTGGTTGGTCAGGATTCCATGACCCAAGAGTCACACCTGGTCAGAGATCGTAAAACAATCTCACCAGAGACCCTGTGAAATTGAGACCATTTTACCAAACACACTGAGACATTTAAAATGACACCAAACTTGAAAGGGTAAAAATAATAGATTCGCAAGATAAATCATATATTCTATAAAGACAATCTTAGTGAATTTTTAATGACTTGAGCCTGGTGGGGCAGAAGAGGGAAAGGGGGAGATTTTTTTTGCTCTTTCTTTGAGATCTTCTCTCTAGATTAGTGAGTTTTAATGTTTTATTACAGGGTGTTTGATTTTTTTATGTCTTAAAACGAAAACCATCCTTACACGGTGGTCCTAACATTTCATTTGGAGCTCCAGGGGAGGACCAGACGTCAATCGCGGCATCAGAGGAGGGGACAGAGTCCACAGGAGTGACATCTTTGGCTCAACCTTGCTAAGATGCGGGACACCAACAATGCCCACATCTCAGTGGCTGGCCTTATCGGTGACACTGAAGATTTTGCCCAGCAATTCTTGGCAGTCCTGAAGCAGACAGAGACCATCAAACACATCTTGCCCCAGCGTGGGCTGGCCCCCAGTCTGCTTGATGCCAAGGGAATCCCCCTGCGGTGTCTACATCTACTCTGGTGCAGTCTGATGTTACACCTCAGCCGCAATGTCAAGCCTCCCACAGGAATGCAACACAGCCTGTCACCCAGGCAGCCCTCCAAGCGGACAGCAAAGCAGTCCAGACGCAATGCTTCCTCACTCTCAGCCTCATCCTCTCCTTTCGAAACAGGCCAAGAGGTCACACCTCAAGGATGCACTGCTTCCTCACGCATCTCTATCAAGCCCTTCACAGGATCCAGGGAGCAGGGTAAGTGTTACTCCACACTCACCCTCTCTACTCCGGGATGCATTGCCTCCCTACTTACAGCTCTCACTTCATCGTACCCAAAAAAGATGGTGGATCACAACTGATCTTGGATCTGCGAGTTTTAATTTTGGCCCTGCACAAGCTCCCGTTCAAGATGTTGACGCAGAAGCACATTCTCACAGGTGTTCAGCCCCAAGACTGGTTTGCTGCAATTGACCTGAAGAATGCATACATCCACTTCTCAATCTTGCCTCGACACAGACAGTTTCTTCGGTTTGCTTTCGAGGGTCAGGCATACCAGTACAAAGTCCTCCCCTTCGGGATGTACCAGTCTCCCCGTGTCTTCACCAAAGTTGTATAGGGTGCCCTTGACCCATTAAAGGAAAAGTGGTCATCTATATCCACAACTCTTGATGACTGGCTCATTCTAGCTCACTCTCGAGATCTGTTGTACAAGCACAGTAACCTGGTGCTCTGGCACCTCAGCCAGTTGGGGCTTCGGTGCAAATGGGAGAAGAGCAAGCTCTCCCCCAATCAGAGCATCTCTTTTCTCAGTATGTAGTTGGACAGCACTTCTCACAAACGAGCATGCCTAGTCAGTGCTGAACTGCCTGAATTTATTCAGGGGGAAAACAGCGGTTCTGCTGAAACAATTTCAGAGGCTTCTGGGTCATATGGCATCCACAGCCATGGTAACGCAGCTCGGATTGATGCGTATGGGACCAGTTCAGCACTGGCTACACAGCCGAGTCCCAAGATGGGCATGGCACCATGGCACACTCCGTGTGGCCATCACACAAAGTTGTTGCCAGACTTTTCAGCTCCTGGTCAAACCTTACCTTTCTACGGGCAGGAGTGCCCTTAGAACAAGTGTCCAGGCATGTTGTTGTCATAACAGGTGCCTCCAGAACAGGCTGGGGTTCTGTGTGCAATGTGCATGCAGCGATGGGCTTCTGGATATGACCACGACTGCAGTGGCATATAAATTGCCTTGAATTTCTGGCAGTACTGCTGGCCCTGCGCTGGTTTCAACCCTTGCTTCTCCCAGTCCCTATGCAAGATCAGGGAGGACAAGGAGCAGGCCTTGATGGTTATGCTCTACTGGCCCACCCGGACCAGGTTCTTCGACCTGATGCCCCTCGAGACAGCCCCTCCCTGGCGAATTACCCTGTGGAAGGGCCTTCTTTCTCAGGGTCAGGGCACAATTTGGCACTTGCGTCAAGATCTTTGGAACCTCCATATGTGGCTCCTGGACGGGATGCAAGGACATAAGTGGTCCGTCACAGGCAGTGATAGTTGCTATCACTCAGACCAGAGCCTCCTCTAAGCAGGCTTATGCCCTGAAGCAGTGTGTATTAATTTCTGTGTGTATTTGCTGTGTGTATTCATCCATGGTACGGTTTCCCTGTTGGTTAACATGTGTCTTTCCCTTAACAGAATTGCTTACTATCCAGTCTCTGCATTGGTAGTAGCAGAACCTACCGTAGTGACTCTCCATGTTACCCCCCTTCAGATAGGATGTGGTCTCTGTAGCGTCACTTAGGCACACTTACCCAGTATTTTACAACTGGTTGTGGCTGTACCCTCATCAGAAAGATAAAGAGCTGAAACACTCTTTTTTTGTTGTGTAAAAGTCAAAAACTCAGGCTAAGGAACAGCTGATGTGACCCTCTTCGTACTGTTCTTTCGATCCCGTTCTCGGTATGAAAGACTATCTGGCTCACGACGAGACGCTGTGTAGTTTACAACGTGGGATGGCAGTTGTCACTTCAGTTTAGTGGTTGTGGCACTTTCCATAGGGATCATATACGTCAGTTGATGTAACATCTCTGTTACATGCGTATCCGAGACGTTCTGCTCCATCCTTTAATAACAGCTTCTTTCATCACATTGTGACTGATTCATAAAGCAATCTGTGCTGAAATGTGCTGTAAAACTGTTCAGAGCGGACTGAAATGATCAGGAATCTTTTTGCAAATAAACTTGATTCAGCCACACTGATACATTCATCACAAGCTGTTTTGGCAGCTTAGTTAAAAAGTTTTGAGTTGTCTTCATAATACGTCAAGGAAAATTAAATGATATGGCCCCTTTCAAGATAAGTATTCTGACATAAAATGTTTTTAAAGGGGTCATATGATGCGATTTCAAGTTTTCCTTTCTCTTTGGAGTGTTACAAGCTGTTCGTGAATAGATAAGATCCCTGAAGTTGCAAAGACTAAAGTCTCAAAACCAAAGAGATATTCTTTATCAAAGTTAAGACTCTGCCACGCCCCCCTAAAACGGCTCGTTCTAACACACCCCCACATATCTACCTCACTATGTGGAAATATTTACATAATGCGCCCAAATGTGCACGCAAAGAAAGAAGGCGTGGTTTCAGTAACCGCAGTTAGTGTGTTTCTAGGCGAAAGCAAAAGCACTATATTTGGCCTTCCGAAAGTAGATGCATTAAGATTACTTACAACAGAACAGCAATGCATTTTATGGACGACCGTTTCGTGAACCTAGGAGAGGAGGTAATTCTGACTTTGCTATGACAATCTGGCGCTTCTGAATCAGCTACTGTTTTGTTATTAGTTTAAGTATTTGCTATTGACTGTTCAAATGCGGAGTTTTGCGCATAGTGTGTGTGTGTGCGTGCGTGCGTGCG